AAAAATACCGGTTCGGCTGCTTTTCCGGGACGCGAATACGAGTAGCTCCGTCTCCTGGAAACTACGGAGAAACTAAATTATATACTGTTGAAATTTCATTACGGATTCTATTTTCAGCCTCAAATTAAATGACAAAGAGATCTGGTTTCACCTTCTGAATGTGATTATGAGGTTGACGAACAAAAGCCAGTGCGAAGTCATTCGTAAAATAAAGAATAAAAAAAAAACTGTTTCCGTAAGTAACAGCGAATATTTTTGGATTTTATAACATATAATATAAAGCATGCACATTTGTAGAATAATAGTTCAAAGTTTGGTTCCCTTCAAATATTTAATTATTTCCTAAATTAAAAAATAATATGATTTTGTTTCTCTCTCTCTCTCTCAGCAAATCTGAATATATATACACGTACGTTTTTTTCTCTAAAAGTCGCTACATCTCTTCGTGTATGCTGTTTGTTCGTAGTTAAAAGAACAACTACTAACTAAAGTTATGCCCGCCCTTTGGCACAGCGGTATATCTGCGGACTTACAACGCTAGAAACCGGGTTTCGATACCCAAGGTGGGCAGAGCACAGATAGTCCATTGTGTAGCTTTGTGCTTAACTTCAAAACAAACAAGAAAGTTAAAGTTGCACGCCGGAAATTAATCTAAATACATAGCTATGATTAACACCAAACCGAACCTAAGCCTATTTGGCACATTTTACTGTCTTATTTCTTTAGTAAAAAAAAAAAAATAGTACCCATATGTATTGTATTCTATATTTATTGCAAGTATTACTGGAATATGAGCAAACGTTCATGTCTCCGTTTTTAAAATAGAATGTTTGTTTTATAAATATATATACTTCATAATAAGTTCACTAAAATTACTCTTAGTAATAGTATTAATATTAGCAAGTGATCATTTTCTATATCATACTACTTACTTCTGTAAGCCCCCCCCCACCCCCAATGGCTCAGTGGTAAATCTGAGGGCTTATAACGCTAAGAACCGGCTTTTGATATCCGTAGTGGGCACAGCATCGATAGTTCACTGTGTATCTTTGCGTTTAAAGGCGGATATACAAACAATACTTCCGAAATACAACAGAGATAAAATACGTGTGCCGACTGTTTCTACATGTAATTCATAGTATTTGATTTAAATAAAAAGTGACTTGTATGTGTTTGTGTGTTTTTAAGTAGTACAACGTGAGCTTAAAAAGTTTTTAACCTGCTACATGTAATTTCATATTCATAACGAACCATGTAAGTGCAAGTGTAGGTGTAAGTTCATCCCCATCAATTATTAACTTGTCAGCTGTGATTAAGTTAAACATGGATTAAAAACTTGCGACAGATTTGCCAGATATGAGTAAGTTAAACATGGATTAACAATTTGGTACAGATTTGCCAGATATGAGTAAGTTAAACATGGATTAACAACTTACGACAGATTTGCCAGATATGAGTAAGTTAAACATGGATTAACAATTTGCTACAGATTTGCCAGATATGAGTAAGTTAAACATGGATTAACAACTTACGACAGATTTGCCAGATATGAGTAAGTTAAACATGGATTAAAAACTTACGAGAGATTTGCCAGCTATGATTAGTATAGTATTTCTTATACACCACTTAGACAAAGCTTAATATTTCTTATATACCACTTAGATAAAGCTTAGTATTTCTTATACACCTCTTAGACAAAGCTTAGTATTTCTTATACACCACTTAGACAAAGCTTAGTATTTCTTATACACCACTTAGACAAAGCTTAGTATTTCTTATACACCACTTAGACAAACCTTAGTATTTCTGATACACCACTTAGACAAAGCTTAGTATTGCATTTCTTATTGTTCTTCTTGTGTGGCGTTTAAGACGAGAAAAAAAAAACGTTTTCATACACTAACCCTGACCCTAAAAACGTTATACTTGAAACTTATGTTCCAGTGCTTGCGGTCACTTTAAAATTGCATTTGACACTTTAAGAACATTTAGTATTCAAATAATATTTACTTATTTCCTTTTTCGCCTATATTTTAATAATAGTCATTCCTTTATCTCTTTCTCTCTCCCTTTTTGCACTGTTATGCCTTAATTTACTAAATTGACTTGGTTCATCTATAAAGAAGAAATTAGTTCAATAATTGAGTAAAATTTATATTAATCGTTGTTGGAATTATAATTTGTCTCTATTTTGTTCATTTTGTGGCTAAAATGTAGAAGTGTTACAAAACATCTTAATTCCAAAGCACATGCGTGTGTGTGTGGTTCAATCACATGTTAAACCTTAAGTAAATAAGTTAAAAAACTCAACCATTAACTAAATGGTAAAAATTATATATAATATGTAGAACAACCAAAGGTAAATATGATTATATTTCCTACATACCGTGTGTGCATAAAACTTTTATAAGTTTAACACTAATGTCTTATGAGAAGTACAGTTCTAACCATATCAGGTTACAGCCAACAAAACTGTTGAGAATGTGGACAACAAGGTTTCATTTCTTAAAATAGTGATTTAATATCTAATGATATTTAGCTTTCATAAAAAGAGTGTTAAAAGTTAGTTATTTTAAAACTAATAGTTATGGCAAGTTTCATTACGTGTGTATGCAGCTTAATTGTTGTACTAGGCTTGTGTAATATTGTTGACGTCATGTTACTCGAAGCTTCTAAGATTTTCTCGTTATGTATAATATTGTTGTTACTAGAGAGCTAGATATTTCTAGATTTTTCTGTCGCATGTTGTAAATACGTGCAGATACAGAGCGGAAGTTAGTTAAGAAAGAAAGTCATTGAAAGTTAAGAAAGTGACTTAGTAAAGTAAAAGTTAACAAAGTGAAGTTAGACTGAGTAACTATCAGTTTAGCCGTAACTGGCGATATCTAAAATGAGTTTCACAGTTTGTATTGTAACAACAGAGATAAAGAAAAATTTATCTCGTCAATTGTGTTCTAAAGTAATTCAATCAGCCTGTGTGGACTTTGACAAAAAGGAGGCAATTATTTAAAGCTCTGGATACAACTTTGGTAACCAACAGTTACAGTGGTGATTTTGAAGCGAGTTTTCACAATTTGTATTGTAACAACAGAGATAGAGAAGAAATAATTCGTTTTGTCAGTTGGGTTCTAAAGTGACTGAACCAGCTTGTGTGGACGTTTGACGAAAAATAGAATTGTTTAACGCTCTAGATTTAACAGTGGTAAACAGTAGTGTAATGAATTGTTGTAAATACGTTTGACTTGTTTTGAATATACTATTCTAAAACACGAGAATTGTGTATTGTCCGTTCTTTGTTGAGATTTGTCGCCAATAATTTCTTCATATTCACCATGTGAAAAAGAAAAGTGTCTTTTTCAATACCCCTAACAAGAATCGTAAATATCATTGAAATTAAAATAGCTTAGGATAATGAAATAGCAACTTTTGTTGTTGTTTTGCTTCGCAAAGATTTCAGAATATTTTAAAATATTTTATTTATTAGTGTTACCTGTTAACGAAGGTATTTAATTTTTTAGATTTAAAAAATATTGTACGTACTTTTGTTATTTTATTAATATTCATTATAGTACGAAGAGCACTTTGGTATTTGATATGAATTTTGTTTTTAAATATTGTAATGAGTTGTTGTTGTATTTCTGTTTACAAAAGCACAAGATGTTGGTATGACCGAGTAGTTAGCGTAAATGAAAAGTCCTCTGAAGTTGACTTAACACATTCGCTACGAAATTTTGGTGGATTCTGTTGAGGTTGACTTATCTTGAGTCAGAAGCTCTAAATTAGAGATGGCTATGTCTGAACCCTCAGGATCTTTGACTTGGTCATTTAATTAACGTTTTACAGAAGATGTCGTTCCAATTCAAGATATGAAATATTCCACAGCGCGAAGAATGATAGGTTATTTTTTATAAAATATTTGACAAATATTGCTATATGTTGTTGTTATAATGTTTTGTGTTTACCAAAGTTATAGTATACTACGGTAGTGGACATTAAATATCTTGGAGTTATTATCTGTTGGTATTATCATATTTCTGTTTACCGAGTCATATAGAATAATAGGGTACTTACTGGCTGTAAAATATTTTGGAAATACCGTTATGTATTGGTGTTATCATATTTCTGTTAACCAAAACTCCAGTAATGATTTAACATATAAGATATTTTATCAATATTGTCGAGTATTTCCATTATTTTATTTATTTTTACCAAATCGTGAAAAATAATATGTATTTAATATCATATATGATAAAATATCGTAACGTACTGGTCAGAGAACAGGAGGGGGCAATAGATCCACCCAAGAAGATTATAATAATCTGACAATAAAGTACCATTTTTTATGTTTTTACTGTGTGTGTGTATTGTAAAATTACAATATAATGCAATGCCAGGCCACCTATTATTGCATTTTCATTTTAGTTTCTTTCCTGCACAACGCGAAGGAACTAAAGTATTTAACATAAAGTATTGTACAACTGTCGTTATCCTAGTTCTGTTTATCTAGGGGGAAAATCTATAAAAAAAATATTAGGGTATTTAACATATAATATTTAAAAAAGGCAAGAGAAATATTTTGAAAATACTGTTGGCGTATTGTTATTAAATGTTTCTGTTTACCAAAGCATGGAGGATTGCCAGGTTAATTAATATAGATAATTTTATATATTAATATCATTGTGTTTCTTTTCTTGGTATATATATACTGTAAAATATTATAAACTATTGTTACGTATTATAGTTATCATACTTTTGTATACCACAGCATAAAGAACAGCAAGATATCTGAAGTAGAACAATTTTGGAATTAACCAATGTATTGGTTCATAATTAAATATGTTCTTTATTCGACTAGCATGGTTAATGTCATTTTTTCACACTGCTCTTTGTATTTTAATATTCTGTCAATGGAATTTCGATGTTTCTTTGTGTGTGTGTGTTTTTTTTTCTATTGTTTTTTCACTTTATTCATATAATATAATTCTCTTATTTCTCTCCAGGGGATGTTTATCGTCAGTCTGCCGTACGCCTGTCTTCACGGTGGGTACTGGGGCATCTTTGCTCTTGTGTTTGTAGCATACATTTGTTGCCATACAGGTAAGATTCTAGTGGCTTGTCTGTACGAACCAAATGAACGTGGAGATATAGTCCGAGTTCGGGACAGCTACGTGGCCATCGCTCAGAGCTGCCTAGGGGACAAATGGGGCGGGAAGATGGTCAACGTGGCCCAAATAATCGAATTGCTGATGACTTGTATCCTGTACGTGGTTCTATGTGGTGACTTGATGATAGGCAGTTTCCCAGATGGACCAATTGATCAACGTTCCTGGATGATGATTGCTACCATGTTTCTCTTACCTTGCGCTTTCCTGCAGAACCTGCGATCAGTCTCATGGCTCAGCTTCTGGTGCACCGTTGCCCATATTCTCATTAACATTATTGTCATGGGCTACTGCTTTACCAGAGCCCCCTACTGGGCTTTTAGTAAGGTGCCCCTGAGGATCGAGATCCATTACTTCCCAATCAGCTTGGGCATTGTAGTATTTAGTTACACTTCTCAGATCTTCTTGCCGACCCTCGAGGGTAACATGCGTGATCGTTCCCGTTTCCACTGCATGCTAAATTGGAGTCATCTGGCTGCAGCAATCTTCAAGGGCCTGTTTGCCTACGTTGGATTTCTGACGTGGGCTGAACAGACACAGGAAGTTATTACTAACAATCTTCCAACCAAAGCTTTTAAGGTCATAGTTAACTTGACGCTGGTCATCAAGGCTCTGTTTTCATATCCTTTGCCCTACTACGCAGCAGCTAATCTAATTGAGATTGCTTTCTTTCAAGGAAAACCGACAACAAAGTTTCCTTCATGCTTTGCAACAGACAAAGAGTTACGAGTGTGGGCTGTAGCTCTTCGAGTTCTTCTGGTAATCTTTACCCTGTTGATGGCCATTTCGATTCCTCATTTCGCCATCCTGATGGGTCTAATAGGTAGTTTTACAGGCACCATGTTGTCTTTTGTCTGGCCGTGTTATTTCCACATGAAACTGAAATGGAATGAGTTACCTTGGTATACAATCAGTTGGGAAGTCTTCATTATTTCCATAGGAGCCTTTTGTGGTGTTATTGGAATATATTATTCTTTTTCGGCTCTCGTCCAGGCTTATCATCTTCCTCTACCCCACGGAGAAACACCATAAAGGTGATATACATATATCTATGTAATAAAAAATAAATCCTCTTCCGATAATCCATGCATATTAACTTTGTTTAGTCTAACAGCCAAGTTGTAATGCTTATCTTCAACTTGATAGATCTTTTGTGTCGTACTAAATGATTTAGTTGATCTTGATGTTTCACCATGTTCGTTCAGTGAGGTCTTAAAAGAAAGACCAGTTTTCCCTCTAACGTAAAGAACACTCAGAGAACCCCACTTACCTTTGGCCATCTTCTAGATGGAAGAAGCTATGTCTGCCTCAAGGTTACCACAGAATGTAGAAAAAGAGTACACTAACGTAAAGAACACTCAAAGAACCCCACTTACCTTTGGCCATCTTCTAGATGGAAAAAGCTATGTCCGCCTCAAGGTTATCACAGAATGTAGAAGATAGTAGACTAACTAAAGAACACTCAAAGAACCCCACTTACCTTTGGCCATCTTCTAGATGGAAGAAGCTATGTCTGCCTCAAGGTTACCACAGAATGTAGAAAAGAGTAAACTATCGTAAAAGAAAAATTATAATGACTCGGATAGAGATTGAATGAAATTAGTACTAAATTAGTAAAGAATATAAACACGTTGTTGGCGTCCTTATAGCAGTTTATGAAACTTATTATGGTGTTGAAATTTTCTTCGACAAGAGTAAGAGCAGAATGTGTCTTATTGAGAGACCTGGATATGCAAGCTGTGCTAAGACACTTCTCATCGTACATCTTATGTCTGAGAAACAAAATATTTTCAAACAGATCAGTGAACAATTTACTAAATGTGGAGTGAAGAAAATGGTGGATTGTACGTACTATTTTGCTTTACTTAACAATGTGACTGTCATTGTATTGTAGTTTACTTGTCAAGCATACTTTGTATAAAATGTTAGACCTATATCAGGAATAAGCCAAACGATATTAGAAAACAGATTGCTATAACACAGAAGAAAGAAAGTTATAACTTGAAATGCTTGAAAGTCTAGTAAGACGAGAAAACTACAGGTAGTAAAAGTAAAGTGAATAAGAAAATGAGGTAGAAAGTTACGTGTAATAATATATTCTGTAATTGATGAGTTGTTAGTGAAAGAAAACCTAAAGATGAGTGTAATGTGTATATTAGCAGTAGTAACAATAATTTATATAGGATAAATTTTGTTACAGAGGTCAAAATACACATATATATATCGAAAACAGTAGCTTTTAAAACACTCCAATAAAGTGCTTAATTTAAAAGACGTAAAAATGCTAAATTTGTAATGAACGATTTCAGAAGTGTTTAACTAGTTCCTTGACGTCACACGATTGCGTGATTTTGATTCATTTATATATGTATATTGCGTGAGTGTCTGTGCATGTGTGAGCAGTATATGCATGAACTCTTTCGATTCGCTCGAGTCAAACTTTCATTAAGCTGAAAACAGCTTGCGATGGTTATTGAGGTCGGAAATTATGGTGTTTAATAACGAAAACGAGCAACGCTTTTGTTTACAAGCTTTAGGTAAATATAACATCGTGAAAGGGTAAAAACATCGTGTTTCAGAAAAACGGTAGGCCTGTGATGAAAGGGCTACCTTTTGTGCCGATGTAAACAAGCTTAGTGAATTAGAACCTCTTTAACCTTTCACGAATGATCTAATTTAGCAAATTAGAATTTTTAGATCTGCTTTTTAAATCTAATTCTATCGAAGTCTGTGGTAGGATGAGGGCTCAGTAATGTAGATTAGTCGAAGGCATAGAATTTCAGTGTAAACATTTGAGACAGACGTCTCAACTCAAGGTGCATTATTAACGAGACCAAATTCATCTCATTCACGTCTTCCATTTGCTTAGTCTTCCAGCAAAAATAAATCTATATATCTTCGATGTTTTATGTGTATTTGTAATGCCTCTATCGAAATCTTTTAGTACTGAGATTTAAAAAAAAATGGATCATACACAGTGAAATCATTGTTGGTCCAAGTTTTCGGTTTCTTGTAGTCACTGTGGGCATGCCAAACAAAATATATTGTTGCATGGTAATCATTGACTATTGTTTGTACAAGGCATATGTGTGTTAAAAAAAAAATCTACACTCTGTAACACATACAATATGTAACATGTCAAAGTGAGACTTGAGCATTTAAGGGACAAATTCGGGATAAAATCAATGTATTAAAATAATCGTGAAATACGTAATGATACAAAAAGAATAATATTTTCAATTTAGAAATTTATTTAAGAATTGAATTTAATGACAATTCTTCGCTACCAAATAGTTATGATGTCCAATCATTACGCCTCCAGTAAGCCAAACATGGCGCATTTTCTCGATGTATTGCACTTAGTAAAAATATTACACCAGACAAGTATAAGTTGATTCAAAATTGACAACATCAACTCACCTAATTGTAGTGTCCAATATGCAGACAATTGTATATTCCCACCATTTTCTTCAGATGGTGTGGTTATTGTAGGCTGAATCAATTCATCTGTCCAGAGGAAAACTGGTCTGAATAGCTGTCTGCCAATAAACTGAGATAAGAAAAAGGTGGTCCTCCGCATACAAGCCATAGTGTCTGTGAAATAATATATGGATGTGTCTTAGCAGAAGAAATGTGACACAGCCTGGTGACAAACATTCATAATTGAATAATAGCTACTGATACAATTTTACTAGTAAAATACGTATGTGATCGTTCAACTTCTTGAACTACAAAGTAGATTAATACACGTTCCAAAAGCAGTAACTCCGATATCAGACTACTATTGACGTCGTTTGAGAACTATCAGTGGGTATCTAAGTTAACATATTCAAACCGATATACACCCAGCTCTAGACCGCTGATGCTATTTTGGAAAAGTCTCCATAATAAGTACTTAAAGTAGCTTCTATGACTAGCATTCCTAAGTTTCTATTTTTACTCAGGTGGTGTAAGAGTCATCATAATAGACATCTAAAATGACATTTTAAACCAGTGCTACAAAATCTTGCTAAAGTATTTAGAATGGACATCTAATCTGACACTCCAAAACTAGTGTTTCTGACATTGGACTGCCACTGAGGTCTTGTAACAACTACGACAATGGACATTTAAACTGACATTTTAGAACCGGCATTTCCGATAGTGGACTACAACTGATGTCGTACAATAATCATCATGATGGATATCTAAACTGACACCACCAGAATTTGCATGCAAATAGACACTATAAAAACCAGAATTGAGAATACTTGTGTAGTTCACTTAGTATATTGTCTGAATGTTTCTTTGAATAATTTTTATTATTATTCTATATAAATTGGAAAATGTCTAACATAGCAAGTCAAATAAATTCGATTATATTTCTAGATAATAATCTATCTCCATATCAGAAATGTATTTAATCCAAACGTTTATACTATGTATCTGTCACCATTTCATTCTCTCTGCTTATATTGTAAACCCCTAACACGTGTGGCTTCATTTACGTTTTATTTGCAATTCGTTTAACGTTAAAAAAAAAGTTTAAAATCTAATACACGTTGTGTAAACTGTATTTTGTGAATACGTAGGAAAAGAATCTAATAATCCAAATATTTTGTTTTAAAAAGAACTTGCAAGTTAATTATAGCAGAACTAAACAATGTTGCAACAAAACAGCAGAACTAAACAATGCTGAAACAAAACAGCAGAACTAAACAATGCTGAAACAAAACAGCAGAACTAAACAATGCTGAAACAAAACAGCAGAACTAAACAATGCTGAAACAAAACAGCAGAACTAAACAATGCTTAAACAAAACAGCAGAACTAAACAATGCTGAAACAAAACAGCAGAACTAAACAATGTTGAAACAAAACAGTAGAACTAAACAATGCTGAAACAAAACAGCAGAACTAAACAATGCTAGAAACAAAACAGCACGAACTAAACAATGACTTAAACAAAACAGTAGAACTAAACTAGTGCTGCAACAAAACAGCAGAACTAAACAATGCTAGAAACAAAACAGCAGAACTAAACAATGTTGAAACAAAACAGCAGAACTAAACAATGTTGAAACAAAACAGCAGAACTAAACAATGTTGA